TGCTCAGCTATGGAACTAAGTCGTTCATCATGTTGATTTTCCGACCTAGGTACACGTATAAAATGAAAACCAGCAACCCATTCAGTTATTCCGTAATAATTCGTAATAATTGCATCATTGTGTCTTGTATTATCTTGTGATACCTAATCAATTGATTGGATGTACTTTAAAGCAACACCCCCGGGTCGAGTTGGTGGGGTAGAAGAGGTCGATAATGAAACTGTGGATGACGAGTTGATTGCAAATGACAAAAGAAACAAAGGAAACACGGGACCCTTCAGAATAAGGGACGGGGGTGCCGGACGAGTTGTCTAAACTAGCTGGCATTTCTTGCTGGCTAGCGCAGCAAGAAATGCAACTGCTTTCGCGCATGCACTAATACAAACAAACACACAGGCACGGATACATGCAAAGAAATACTATAACTAAAAAGATTAGGTAGTTAAAAGCCATCAAAATGCAGGCAGAATTCCATCGAACGCGGTACAGTTCACAGGCAATCGCGCTGGGACTACGCAGTCGCGCAAGGACACGCAGCCACGCGATTCGTCCAGCGGCCAGAACTGGCCAGCTTTGTAAGACCTTATTGCCGTTGTCGCGCACTTTTGAGACGCGACAACGGCACATCTGTGCTACACGAGAGCTACCCTATCTTACCCTAGGAATGATTCTTCAAGTTGGCTCCTCGCGGGGGTGTTGCTTTAATGTTGTTCTTCGTTTGAATTTCGACGTGGTGCAAATTGTTGGTAAATAGTGTTCGCATGCGTCGGAGTGGCTCAGGAGCAGGGTGCACATCGGTCGAGGATTCGTCGACGGCTCGTCAAGGATTTTCGTCTGTTCGGTCACGCTCTCCCGCGCGGAAATTCATCCTCGGCACGTGCGAGACGTCTCTACTCTCCGCGCCTACATTCACTCTCGACACTATAGTTACAGTTCAGAGCAAGGTCGAGGATTCCCTCAACCGCTATTCACCCTGCATAAGAGCGTTGTCTCTTGCATAACGCACCAGTCACAGTCACCCTTTACGCGTAGCGTGTGATTATATAATAATATGTGTGTATGTACGTTATCATCAACACGTGCTCAAAACAACTGTAACATGTATACGCAACGGGAATGCAGTGAAATGTATATACAAAGATGTAGCGTATGACCACTGAGATTCGAGGTAGATATAAGGCAAGTTGATGTGAGACTCTCAGGACATTATTGGGTGATCATCCTTTAAGTGAACTCGAATACAAAGCACTCGATGTTTTACAACTAAACTAGGATAGCGTTACGTTGAGGGGTGTCTTCGTACATTTCAGCAATAATGTCAGCCCTAGAAGACTTGGCTGTTGTTGGTACGCTTGCCATCTCGACGTCTGGATTATGCGTGACCTGTAATGACTCACTGACTTACTGAGTTTTCCACGTGACCTTGAAAACAGGAGACGAACCCGCTTTTGTGCCCTGATTTTCTCTCTGGCCTGCGAATGGTGTTCAGGATGTTCGTACTGTGACGGATTGATGTACAGGCTCTTTCTTCGTATTTCACCGTTAGACGTTGTCAAGAAGCTAAGTGGAGCGACGCTGGTTCGCCGTTCATAAGCAGCAGCGAGGTGCTCCAAAGACACTGGAAAACAGCAGCCATTCTTATTTTCACTCATTTCGCTTCCGTAACAAGAAATGCCCTAATCATCCTAAAAATGGAGCATGTGTAGAGAAAACTTTCAGAAATGTTTCAGGTGCCATTACACATGATAGACTGAGCCTCGTACTTTCAGCGTGGTCGCTGTCTGTCCTAAGCTTGTGAATTTGATTGCCCTTCTTGTCCTTTATCGGTTCGAAGTCGTGCCATCCATGACCGTAAGCGTGTAGAGGATAAGCAGCTTCTCCATGTTTGTAGATATCCAGTCCATTAATTTCCACTTCTTCAGAGACACGTAGCTTTCCAATCTGAAACTCTAGTTGTGATGATTGCACCAATATTTGCATTATGGCAGGTGGAAGTATAGGTGGTATCGCTCACGATACTATCGAACCCATAGTGATGCTCGCCCTGGTGACACCCTTGCTATTTGGCTCACCGTTCACTAGCTCAGTTCTGGGTTACAGTTGCAAAAGTTGAGCACTACTAGAGGCAATTTTGATTGGTTGGAAACAGAGCTAGTAACAGCCCAGCCGTTCCTCTAGAATTATGGAGGGCACTTTTCAGGAACGATG